GAATTTGTTTTTTGAATACAGTAGGAGGATTATGGCTTGAGTAGCATCAAGATGATAGAGATAAGGCTATCTTTGGCTACTTTTGGGTATTTGAAAGAGAAATTTAAGAGCTTTAAAGGAACAAAACTAACTTGATAGATTTAAGTTTTTATGGTTCAAGATTCTGAGTTTTTTGTTAAGGAGTCACCCGTTTTATAGTAGTGGGGATTTGGAGGATCTAATTGATTTATAAATATTTTGTATACGGGTTTGCACCCTCTTGATTTTCATGAATATATTCTTACCTTTCTTCCAAAAAAAGAAAAGGCAAATGATTCCTCTTTGGAAGACAAGGTAACTTCCTATTTATTTCTCTTGGAAATAATCGTACAGTGAAGGAGTTTAAAATTCCAATTGACACCTATATGGAGGAGAGGTATACCTTTGATCATGGAGAGGTATACGGGTTTGCACCCTCTTGATTTTCATGAATATATTCTTACCTTTCTTCCAAAAAAAGAAAAGGCAAATGATTCCTCTTTGGAAGACAAGGTAACTTCCTATTTATTTCTCTTGGAAATAATCGTACAGTGAAGGAGTTTAAAATTCCAATTGACACCTATATGGAGGAGAGGTATACCTTTGATCATGGAGAGGATTTTGATTATCAATCCGAGAATTGGAAGAAAAAATTCTTAACAATTGATTCTATCTTCAACAAGTGGAGTCTAACATCTTCGATCAACTCTTATTTAAAAAACAAACATTTTCTTCAATCAACTCAGAGTGCTAGTTGCTTTTTCTAGGAATTTGTGCCTACAAGGGGGGTAAAAGAGCAATTTTTGAATTTCCTTGTGGATCTCTTGAGTGGTCTGCAACAGAGGAAATGGATAGGATTTTGACAAATTGGGGGCTTAATATATATATTTTTTTCAAATCAAGGATAGATGATTAAAACCTTTTGTTCAAAGGACACTCCTTTGTTGAAGGTTTTATGTAATAGATTGGATTTCTGTGTTATAAATAGTCATCCTTGGAAGGCACCCCTTTGTGTTCTTGCATATATATGGATGGCATCCTCTTGGTGCTCTTTTATTGATACATATAACCTTTAATAGTGACACTTATAAAAGGAGACAATGAGAACATGGATGACATCTCTTTGATGCCCTTTTATTGATACATATAACCTTTTTTTTAAAATAAAAAGTATGTATGTTTTCATTCACATGCACCAAGGCGGTGCAAATCCATGTATAAAAGAGTATTTACATATTAATCAAAGTATTAATAAGGTCTCCAAGGTCCTCAAAAGGATAAATAGGATGACCTTTAATAAAAAAACATAGGGTCTGGAATTAACCATCCTTAACCTTATCAAATTTGACATTTGTGTTCAGAAAAGCTCTCATGTTCCTTTCCTTTCGCACCACCCAAAAAGTAGCAAGGAGAATAAGGCTCACATGTCTCCTCTCACCTCCAATCCCTTTCCATGCCCAAACTTTTTTCCTCATTGCACCAACCATCACCCAATTAATACCAAAAAAAGCAAGGGTCCATAGTCTAAATGCAAATGGGAATCATAAGAGTAGATGATTACATGACTCCGCATCCTTTTTGCTTATATAACAACTATTCACCAAAATCCTACTCCTGATGATCAGCTTCTCCAAGGTTAAGATGCAACCTCTGGCAGCCTCCGAAGCAAAAAAAGGCAACTCTAGACGATGCATTAACCTTTCAAGTTTGCCTATAATGGAAACCTCTTCCACTAGTCTCTCTCTTAGTCAAATGGTTGTAAAAAGACCTTACAGAGAAAGATCCTTTAGTATTAAGTCTCCAGTATGGACTATCTCTACTTCCATTGATTCTGATTCTTGAAAGGAGAGAAGTAATGTTTCATACTCCCTAACTTCCCAATCATCAAGGTTTTTCATCACTTCCGCAGACCACTTCCCAAACCCACCCTGTAGTGTTGTTATAAAAATGCAACTTTAGACGATGCGTTAACCTTCCAAATTTGCCTATAAGGGAAGCCTCTTCCGGTAGTCTCTTTCTTAGTCAAATGGTTGTAAAAAGACCTTACAGAGAAAGATCTTTTAGTATTAAGGCTCTAGAGTGGATTATCTCTACTCCCATTGATCCTGACTCTTGAAAGGGAGATGAGTAATGTTTCATACTCCCTAATTTCCTAATCATCAAGTTTCGTTCATGACCTCCACAAACCACTCCCCAAACCTCTTAATGTTGTTGTATGCATCCTGTATCAAGGCATCTTTATTACGAGCATTAGTGTATATTTGAGGAAACTGATCTTTGAGAGGACCCCCCTCCATCTAATTGTCATGCCATAGCCTGTATCTGTTCCCTGCACCAATCCTCCATCTAATGCAAGTGCGGAACTATCTTCTTCCCATGCATATTCTTTTCGATAATCCATTGTCATGAGTCTAGATGTTAGCCTAGTGAATCAACCTTTTTCCTCAGCTTCATATTTTGTCTCAAATACCCTCCACAGAGACTGCCATCTTTCTTCACAAATCTCCATAACCATTTCCTCTGAAGAGCCCTATTGACCTCCACCATAGATCTCAATCCCAGCCTGCCAAGATGAAAAGACTTCTTAACCTCGTCTGAAGCCACAAAGTAAATTTCCTCTTCTCCTTGGAATCACCCCATAAAAATTTACATTGTGGGACTCTAGTCTCTTAGCCACATTTAAGGGGATTGTCATGAGAGACATGTAGTAAATTGAGATATTGACCAAAGTGTTTTTAATGATAGTGAGTCTTTCCCCCCAGATAGAAAGTTTCTTTTCCAACCGATCAAACATTGTTCAAATGCTTGTTTGGCAGATTAACATTCTTACAACCAAGGATACTAGCTAATCTGTTAGCATCCCACCTATCCCCAAGTCTAACGAACTCTGACTTGGCAAGATTAATGTTGAGGTTCAATACAACTTGGAAGTTTAACAAAATGCATCTAATATTTAGCAAAACTCTCTCATTTGGATCACATAAAAGCAATGTGTCATCCGTTAAAATAGATCAGTAATCTCCTCTACACACTCCTTATCACTGACCTTTAATCTCATAATATTTCAAGTTCATGGACCCTCAAAATCATTCTGTTGAGAACCTCCATGACGATGATGAACAAAAACGGAGACAAAGGCTCTCCTTGTCTGAGACTTCTGGTAGCCCTGAAGAAAGACCCTATTTACAATAACAGCAAAGTAGTTGTAGAGATACAACATCTGATCCGCTTTCGCCATTTGTTTCCAAAATCCATCCTCATTAATATGTAATCCAGAAGTTCTCAATTCACATGGTCATAGGCTTTTTTCATGTCAAGTTTGGAAAGAACTCTCTCTAAATTCTTATGTTTCAGTTCATCCACAATTTCACTCGTAATTAAAAGCCGCATCTAAAATCTTCTTACCTCCCAGAAAAGCATTATTACTGCTAAAACTTCATCAATAAGTTTATTTACGCTACCTACTAGATTGATGGATTTGAAATCCTTAATGCTCGTTGCCCTCGCATTCTTTGGGATAAGAATTAGAAAAGTAGAATTTAAACCATTAATGAACTGTCCTATTTAATGGAAATTATTAAAGAGTTCAATAATATCATCCTTTATCACATACCAAAACCTTTGAAGGAAACCTATGTTTGATCCGTCAGACACAGGAGCTTTATTCTTACTGCAGTGCATCAAGTTTTCATTAATCTCTTCCTTAAAAAACTTCTGTTCAAGAGTTGCATGACTGTGATCATCCAATGACGAAAAATCCAAGCCATTCAATTTGGTCTCCATAAAAAATCTTAAGAATAAAGTTGATTGAAGAAGGCTTAGGCCCCCTCCCCCAATTCTTCATTCCCTTTCACCACACCTCCATCAATCTCCAACTCTTCCACATAGTTAATTCTCCTCTGGTGATTAGCCACATCTCCATCTATCTCACCTTTATTCACCTGGCTCGTTTCTTTTTCTCCATGAGATTTCTTCCATCTGAATTCTGTTTGCCAGGTCAAAAAAGATAGAATTTCTATGGGCCTGATCAGCAGTAGACAAATAACTGTCCCCTTCTATCAAGGCTCTCTAATTCTTGATGTAAGGATTGACTAATAATTGACTCTCCCCTCCACTCTTCTTTGCACCACTTTTCAATTTCCTCAACCGCCCAAAGCTTTTTAGAGTCCTATAACTTGCCTTGCCCTCCACCATCATGCCATTCCACCAATCCTTGATTCTCTTCTGCAACCTTGTGACTTTAAGCCACTTATCCTCAAATTCGAAAAGAGAAGACTTCCCATTTGAGCATATAAGAATCCAAGCAGATTGGGAAATGATCAGGGATGGTTTGCTGTAACAGTCTCTGACTTAACCCAGAGCAGTCAAGTTGGCAATTTACCGATATAAGAAATCTAATCAATCCTGGAGCAAGCATGTTCTGATATCTAATTAGACCAAGTCCATTTGCCTACGACAAGAGGCAAATCCACTAAATCAAGTCTATCTAAAATCTCGCAGAACTCTTCAACACAAATCCTGGATTAGTTATGTTTTGTTCTTTCTATCCATGCAAAACTATGTTGAAATCACCCATCACCACCCATGGGACCTCCCATTTTCTTTTACATTCCTCCAAATCCTCCCACAAATTATCCCTCTCCTGCCCTCACCCCTGCCATTACCTTAGTGAACACCCATAGCCCCCCCATTCCCTCTATTCTCAAGTAAGCACGAAATTATATAGTCCCCAACAATGATGCCAACAGATTGAAGAGAATCCTTATTTCACTACAACCCCACCAGTAGCCTTATCATAGCTCCCCCATCCAATATCCCTAATTTTTCATATGCTGTGAGCTATTTTTGAAGAAGAAGAAGCTTACTTTAGTTTCCTAGGAGACAGATTACCTTGGGTTTCCATCTTGCCATCCACTCCTTATCACTAACATCTTCTTATGATCATTCATTCATCTCACATTATAAGAGATAATGCGCCCTATCATAACGACAAGTCTTTTCTCCCCCCTCTCCCTTCTTCGCTCCCTTATCATAGTTAATTGTGGATTGCAGCCTCTTAAATTCTTAGGACACGTCCACTCCCTGTTTTTATCTTTGTCATGGATAATGCTCGGTTACCCTCCCCTTTTTCCTTCTTTCTTCTTTCAATCTCCTTAAACAAATTCATGGCCTGCTTTTGAGGACCTTTACAACTTACCCTTAACAACTAGCTGATTTTTTAAATAATTTGAAGGACCCATGTGGCAACATTCCTATCCCCTGGTCCTCCCCCGCTTTTGCTACTTGCTCCTTTAACAACTAACATGGTTTTCTGTAGCTCTAACCCTCTTCTTCCATTGGTAATTCCCTCTATCAGATTGACATCAAGTGGGATCACTGCCAATGGCTTGAACTTTGCCTACCT